GAAAAACGTCTCAAAATGCACAAAAACTGCATCCAGAAATCAAATTGCCTAGTTTCTCATGATAATTTTGGTGTTCAGACATTCTAGAATGACTCATACATCCCATGCACTTTTTGCAGTACACATAACTTTCGGATGAAATCCGAAGTTTCCACATTTTTTAATATTTATAATCGAATTATATAATCAATTTTACAATATTCTGTGCATATATATATAACTCTACATAGCACTTTTATTCAATGGAGAATACTTGAAAGTATAAATAGAATATTCATTTCTACAACTGCCTTCGGACGTTATCATAATTTGTATCATCGAATGCAAATACCACATTCAAATGACTGTGCCAAGTGATAGAATGACACATATTTGTAATTACTTGAAGAATAGAAAACAATAGAAGAATTTAATTTAATTATTTTATAATAAAAGGTTTCAATAAAATAATTCTCTTATTCAATTAGTTTATAATTAAATTGAACAAGCTTGATGAAAATCATTTTAAAAATCAGTTGTGATATGTCAGCATCCATGGGTAATGCGATCAAGTGGTAACTATTTACATGTAAAGCTATTATTATGTTTGTGACTTGATGGATAGAAGTGTACAGAGAAAAGTATTTCTTCGTGACTTTGTAACCATTTTCGCAAACATGTTTTTAAATAACAATAGATGCCACATATGTGTTTAACGAGGCTCAATGATGATATTTTGTCTTATAAAATAAAAGAATATATGTGCATTGATCTATATTTAGCTGATCTATCATGTCTTTCAATTTCACCAAGACACCTACGTAACATTCCAAGGACACATCTAACTATTTGTGTATTATATCTTGACATACAAAGGGTTATTTTTAATTCAGCATGAATAATCATCGTCGAATGACTATTTGAAAAACAAACTGGTAACATATTTTCATGATGATATAAATATTGAGAAATAGCAAGCTCATGGATACGCCATCATCATTATTATCATAACGTATATCTTCGATTGACACATCAATGAACTATTGCTGGTTATTTTGTTGTTGCCAGAATAGGATTGTAAACATTTCATTTTCATTTGAGCACGAACAATGGTGTTTAGTCTATTAAATTAATTAATTTGAAATGATTTGATTTTTAGATTGAAGTATGAAGACATTAAGTATATTCGCTTTAGTCATTTGTTCGGTGTATGTCGTTGTTCCAACCATTGGTATAAAAGAAAAATCACTTGTCATGCATGGTCGTGTTACATTTGTTCCCAATTTTAAAATTCCAACAGCACTTGGTGCTAGATTAACTGTCACACTACAAGATACATCACTAGCTGATGCTCCAGCAAAAGCTATTGTACGAACAAGTCGAAAAGCCAATCGATTTCCAATACGATTTACTATTCAATATTCACCATCGCAAGTTTCAAGCCGTTCGTCATATTCACTCAGTGTCACTATTAAAAATAAAAAGAATGAACTACTATATATCAACAATGTACATACCAAAGTCATACCTTTAGGTGAAAAGCGTACTAAATTTATTGATGTTCCTGTTATAAACGTGACACGTATGTAAAAAAAAGATATTGGTGAGTCTATGTCAAAATTTGTTAAAACTTTTATAGGAACATCTTCTACATTAAACAAAAAGGAATGGCCTGAATTAGTTGGTAAAAAAGGTGAAGAAGCAGTGAAAATAATAAAAAAAGAAACAGGTAGTATTGCTCAGATTCACTCAAAAATAAAAAATTATTTTAAACATTAAATTAGGTTTTGATAATGTTCTCATAGTAGAACAAGGATCCCCGATTACATTGGATTATCGTACAGATCGTGTTCGTGTTTTTGTTGATGCTAATGGAATTGTTGTAACTGTTCCAAAAATTGGTTGAATGATTGTTTCAGCGACCAGATTAAGACCAGCAACGAACTAAACTATTTTATTTGAATATTCTATTGTATTATTCGTTGGCCTTTAAAAAAAAAGAATTTGTTTTTTTTTCAACATTTTGGTAAAGGAAAAACGTATAAGAGGAAAAGTAATATACGAACAATGAGCTGGGCTTGGTCAGCGGCTTAATACTAAGAAAACCATATCATAGGATGAATTCTACTATTCAAGCAAAAGATTGCTTGGGAGCTTGTTCTCACGAGACATAGAAATATGTGTATTGGCAATATTGAAAAAAGTCTGCATACGCAATAGTTTCGCCTAATTAGAAAAAGCAAATAGGTGGTAAAATAAATAATGCTATGAAAAAATCAAACAGTTCTGAAAGGTGAACTACGGAAACATGTTATCAATTGAGTTTCACACGTCTACAGTCTAGTTTTCAATATATTCCATTCTTAGAATTGCCACTATAGGTAAATTGACAGCACATAACTATAGATAGTTAGCAAACAATCCGCGCTTGGGGTAATCTTAACACTGAAATTACTTGATGTTGTATTGCAATATCTCAAAATAAGATCTTGAAAATCATGTCATAATCTGGAAGTGTTTCATTAAAAAACAATTCTTCGGTGAAAAACTCTGATTTGCTAAAACAACAGCATGATGTAATCGTCAGCTCAACATATTATTCAATATTTTTATTCATGCAGTTAAATATGTATAATTATTTTGCGTGTATTTCAAACATAAAGATGTGCTAGTGCAACTCATTTAGTCTGGTATGACCTTTATTTTCAGTCAAGGAAACAAAGAACTGAAGCAATACTATGCTTTGACATCAATTTTACTACGTTTGTCGCTATTTTATTGAGAGATAATTGTTATGCTGATCTTGATAAACTTTATCTCTTTCTCACCGTTTTTACTATAATTTCTTCTTTCGTTCATGATTTTCGGCTGGCGTGGAACTTATTCATTACGGCGTATTTTGTTTTTGTTCAAATAATTTTGTAAAGATAAATGCTTCTGATGATATCTGGAGGCACTCCAAGTACAAGCAACCGCATGAGTTTCAATCACACTTATCATACATATTTCATATAAATACTACAGAAACATGCTTTCTTGCAGTAATTGCTGGTATAGCTTTTCTCAAAACGCTCACTGGCATATATATATTTGATTTTTTGTTGTACATATATGACTATCAATGATGAATTGTATTCATTTTTGACACTGTAGAAAAATAAATTCTGTTGTTATCTAAAGTTTTACATTTTATTTCGAAGCTAAATAATTGATTATTTAATGTAACATTTTTTCTTTTTTTGAAATTTAGTACAATAAAATTCAAGCTCGAAAGCACTATGTCTTAGATAAAATAGAGATTTTTTCTGAGAACAAAGTAAAAATTGAATTTCAATGTGTCTTAAATGAATCCAAAGCGATTTCGCGACTGACACATAAATAGTAGTTGCCGGGATAATTCATTTTAAACTAGAATTCTCGCACCACCGGAAAAAAATAGAAAACAATAACTTTCGACTATTTTCTGCTCGAGTACAATTTACTCTGACCTGACCTTCATCAAAGAACTTACACAACTGCTAATCTCTACTAACTGTATAAACAAGTTTCATTTGAGTTACTCTATCATTTTTATTTTATATTCATTATTGAGTTCTTCCATGAAGTATTGACGCATGTATTAACTGAAAATAAACAAGTACTTAAATGAAACGAGTGAAGTCTCGACGTTGAATAGCTGCAATTACATATGTGCAGACGTATCGCTTGTACTTGCAACCCCATGTTGGAAAAACCGGATTAAAATTGACGGTTTACCGCTCCGGTTACCGGCTCCCATCAACACAAATTTACCGCGGTAAACCGGGGGTTTCGGGAAACACCGCGATTTACCGCCGGTATTTTTCGATTAACCGGTTCGCTGAGCGTTTATAAAAAATTGTTGCTAGAAGTCATTGATCGGGCTATTTCAGGCATCTTTTTTTCCTATATGATGACGGTAAAAAAAGGGTACCGGAAAAACTAGCGGTTAACCGCGGTATTACCGCTCCGGTTACCGGCTCCCATTTCATACAAATTTACCGCTTTTCTAAAATTACCGCGGTTTACCGCAAAAATTGTAGCGGTATTCGCGACATGGGACTCTTTACATTTGCCCTCTTAGCTTTAAATCAATTAAAAAATGTTTAATGATTGTCGTCTTACTCAACAATATTTGTTTAACTACATCTACTCTTCACGATTCTATACTTAACTTTCGATCTAACTAATTCATCTATTCATTTTAACACTTATTTTTTTCTTTTTTTAGTACTATGAGCTTATACTCTTCAATTAGTTGTTTGTATGAGATCAACTTCTGTTAAAGTAAATTTTTTAACAATTCTCTATGGAAAAAAGATCAATTTTAATTCCTCGTTAGACAACTGAGGAATCACTTTTTTCTCATAACACAGAATAGGTACTTTGAGTTCTGACTGTTTCGGTACCCATTTCTATTTTATACATAAATAAAGAGAGATTCAGTTTCAATCATTACATTTACACGAAGTTCATACACGTGCTCAAGGGTGAAAGCAAAATCTACTGAAAGATAGCATATAGAGATGTGCAGGGTAAGATTTTTTCTTACCCTCTTCCCTGCAAAATCTTTAGAATTGAAGAAAGAAATAGTAAAATACCATAAATTATTCATTTATTTCATTACAAATGATCTACAAAACATTACAATAGAATCTTTTTAAAATTTCTTATCAACAATATATCGTCCACAATATCGTCACCTAAGCTTTTGGCGTCGCTGTTCGAGGATTCTTCCAGTGACACTAAATATTCTTTCGCTTGTGCATGAACTAGCTGGTATACCTAATAATGATTTTGCTAAAACACTTAGCGTCGGATAATTTATACTCCACTTCTTCCACCATTGTAATACAGATTCTTCGTTACTAACGACTAATTTTGCTTTAGCATAACGTTCAATTTCATCTTCATCATCTTCACTTGAATCATCTTGGCTTGCTAGTGCAAATTCTAGCATTACATCTTCTTGTGAATAATCATCCTTTCTCATTTTCTTTGGCTTTTTCTTTGGTTTAGCAATATTTATGTTTGGGCCAATTTGTTGGATTTCTTGATTTTCTTCTAGGATATTGAGTGTTTTCAACATTCTTCTTGTAGCTTTATGAATATTGCTTTTTTCGTATTGACTATAGAACTAAAAGAAACAGGTATAAGCAATAGATATGCGAAGTTTGTTTTGAAAATAAGACTCACTGATAAATTTTTCGTAATTGGATGAAGAAATGTGGATATGTCGTGCAGTTGTGTAAGCCAAGTCTTTTCATTTATAAATTTCAAAAGTATACTCTTAAAGTGTTTGATCACTGCAAGATCATCGGCTTTGATTTGACAAAAAATTTTCAATTTATTGATCCAAGGTAAAACTAGATGCAGGGTAGGCTCTTGATCCGCAGATAATTGTTCGCTTGCTTTCTTGAAGAAGGATAAAATTTCACTCACATTATTTAACAACATCCAATCAATCTTATCTAAATGAACTGGATATGCTTTTCTCTGTAATAGAATTTCTTCAATTTCTTTAAAACTAATATCAATAGAATTCAGTATATCGTACACGGAATTCCATCTCGTTTCGCAATGCTGTTTTAATGTAATCGATAGTAAATGATTAAGTTTGCATCGTTTGAAATGAGTGACAAGCTCTGCAGATGCTGTAACCAATGTATTTATTTTTTAGCATTCTCCAATAGAATGTTGAATAACTAGGTTCCAACAGTGACCTAAAATAAATAGAATGTGTTTTTTAAAACTATGAAACTATTTTTTTATTGTAGTAATGCGCTTGGAAATCGAAGCATTAATTATTTTTCTACGTTAGTAAAATAAAAGAATCTTCGATTTAATAGATAGTCGCGCATTAAAAACCCATGGATCAGCAGAAAAAGAGATTAAATTTAATCTATAAAGTGACTTACACATGCATCTTAGATGAACTTCTTCTTTTAAACCTGATATAAAATTCGACGCATTATCTGTCAAATATATAATGTGAGTTTCTTCTGGATCAATATCATATGATTTTAATATCATTTTGATTGTTCAAACAGTATTTTCACCACTCTTGGTTCCTGAAAATAAAATGGTTTTTAACATATATGTGGCAGGATTATTATCTTTTCTATAATGAATGCTAATAGTTAAATAGTTATCACCGGTATAACTATTTTTCCAATAATCAATACTAATACTAATTAGTTTTACTTGTTTTAATTCTTTCCGTAATATTTCATTCATTTTTAAACGATATTCGTTTGCAATTTGTTTAATAGTACGTGATATATTAGTACGATCAGGAATTAATATATCAGCTGATGATTTAATTGTCTTCATTAAGCCATATTTCTAACCAATATCAATCAAAACTTGACATATTTGTTTGAACCCATCACTATGAACCGAATTAAAGGAACGCATATCAAATGCGCAACATTTTTACCATGCCAGAGTTACCGTTCGTTTATCATCAGATGATAAAGTGGCAATTTTGTTTGTATAACAATCAATTGACATCGCAGATTTTGGTAGATTAATCTTTTTTGTGCAATTTTGTACATGAAGCTTTAGAGAATTCGTTTCATTTTTCACATCATAGGATAATATCTGTTGACAAATTGTACATTGAACAAACGGTTCATAAACATCATCCGAATCCTTGATTCGAAGTAAACTTGACCAAAATTCCCCCGGTGAAGATGAAGGTGAATCCTCCGTTGTCTGTAATTGACCAGCTTTAATATTCATCAAAATTACTCGTTTCTCTCATCGCATGCAGTTTTTGATAATTTTTTGGACATATTTACAAATAAAAATCGTTTTACCAAAGCATGAATTTAAAGAAAAAAATACAATAAATTAAATAACACAAGAAAGACAATCGATTGTTTTCACTGACGGTCGAACTTATACCATTACTATATTACTTACAAGATGTTCATGTATTTTTGTGATTGAATTACGGCTGCTTGTTCATTTACACATGAATAATGGTTCAAAGATGTCGCTCGAAGTTGGCCATTTTCTTAACGACTGAGCTAAAAATACTTGTACTTTAATTTTCATGATTTCTTTTTTTTTCTGACTCAACTTTAATTTATTGGATTTTTACTTGCATCATATCTTACTGCACTCCACCAAATGCATACCCTGGCCCTGCTCTACCCTGCACATCTCTATTTCATAGAATGCAAAAGCACTATTACCGGTTACTTTGAATAACAATGTCTAGCAATTTCGATCCACGAACCCATCGAACAGGTCGTAACATGATTGCCAATATTTGCTGATTCAGTATTAGTTTACCTAAGTGTCGACTTTGCTCTGTTTTTTTTTTGAGAAGGTGGAAAAACCTTCACTGACAGCCAACAAACTAAATCATACTCCATTCTTTTTATTGATTTTTTTCTCGACAAAATGAAGCAGTCGTTAAATGTCTCTGTGCAAGAGTATAGGCTTTTCGCGACAAAAAGTAACGAGAAAGAATTTACATCGATCAATTTTTTCTTATCTTAACAATAATGATTAACGCAATAAAACACACGCTGTATTATTGAAAACAAGGGATACGGCGATACGGCGACTATCAAGTGTGGGGTGCAGACGTATTTTTCATGAGAGAATTTTTCAAAAAAAAGTTACTCACGACACGTTTCATTCTTGTTATAGATTCATCAGGTAAGTTTAGCATCTAATTACTGCATATCGATCAAATGACAAATTTCATAAAAGCTCTATGAAAGCTAGAGACCATCAACGAATTTCCAATAGAATTTTGAAACTGATTACTATAATCTAAGAAGAAAAGATTATAGACATCAGAGTAATTTTCTACGAAGTTTTTTTTTCAAGCGAGACACTTTAGAAGGGCATGTACTGCAATCATGATATCGATATTTCATCTCAGCAAAGATTCAATTCAGAATCAGACAAAAAATACTGAGTTGAACGTAATGATTTCTGGCGTTTCTAAAGACTTTGATTTTGTGACCAGTTTTGGTCGCATACTAGATTAAAGTTTTTTATGAAAAAATAAAAATGAACTCAATCAGTCATCGTAGAATCTGATGGATTTCACTATGATAACATACTTGATCAATACTAAAAATGACTCCTCCAGATCCAGTTTTTCGTAGTGTATCTAACCATATCAGTTTTACGAAATACATGAAACGTAAAGTATTTTTTAAGTTGAAAAAACTTGTCTGGTTCTCATACAGAAAAACCTACTATTACAAAATTAGATCTTTTGGGGCACTAAAACAGTCTTTTTTCCTATCGAAAAACTTCAAGAAAAAACTAATCAAACACATATTATCACTCAGTTCGACGAGCTCTATCTAACCATGGATAAAACGAGAAGAACAAACTTTGTTTGAATTTTGCATTATTGGTACCTTGGAGTCTTTCATATAATAGCTTTCCTCAAAATTTGTCAATACTTAGCTTCGTCATTATTTCTCTTCTACCACTAACATTCATTAATCTTTCTAAGCTTACCAGTTGCTCGTCTGGGTAGCAACATCGTTTTTGTTTCCTCCTGTAAGTGAGATATGACTATTTTATTTAAACTTCTACTGATAAATCGTAGAGGAAAACAGAGACAGTTATCCGGATCCTTTTTGCATAATGTTTTCTTCTTATCATTGCGAAACGTTCCCTCGCTTGTTTCTTCTTTCTCAGCAGTCACAATTCCTCGATAGAGTTATGACTTAAATAAAGTTGTTTACAGAGGCTTACATGTAGAGCCAATGTGAACAATATCAAAGATATTTCCATGAGGGATCAGATACGTACGTCCCAAAGTAGGCATACCGCAAATTATCTTGATCATTCACATATAGCTTTAATACCATTTGCAAAACAGTGATATTAATAAAAAACAATGTGGTGCAAGAATATCACTTTTACGTAGCAAACAAATGTTATTAAGGGTAGTTTTCTTGGCAAAAAGTGCATGGCGGATCCTCTTCTAAATACGGTGATGCATGAAATTAGAATTCTTTTTTTTCGATTAGTATAAAGGTCCAACTAAATAATATCACTTTTTATATTTTGATGATAGTTTTGAGTTTTTCATGACTGAGAATTAATTTTGTTTAGAAAATGACTTGTAAAACGATTCGTTGATTCTCCATGAATCCGATCATATCGACATAAAAAATAAAATTCAATAAATTTGATTGAAACTAATATTTGAACTGAGCCGAAACCTAAAACTAGAATCATAAGGATTTGATATCCAAGAAAGTAACCAAATTCGATTATGGCTTCAATGTTGGCAAGCCTCTTTTGCATTCATCACAAGAGTTAAGTCTCACATATTGGAGAGTAGACGTTTCCCTCGATTTCGGCCTTATAAAAACTTTCGTATAGTGATCAATATTCAGATTTTGGCAACTCATTTAAATTAACTTCGTTAATAATAGGAAAACGATAATTGAATGGCACAACAAATATCATCTACAAGCAATAATCGCTTTGTAACCAATCATTTCAAAGAAAGTTACACAGTGACCCGTAACTCAATATATCGCTACCACCACTGGCCTGTAGTGTCATTAGAAGAAGCTGTGCAAAGTCTTATTTCATTTGTACCTCACGTCGAGAGTTATGCTAATGAAGCTAAGGAACACTGCAGAC